CACACACACACACACACACACACACACACACACACACAATCTGTGTCTTTCCAGAGCTTACTACTGTCTGGGAATCAGCCGTTTTGTATGACAGTCTGTAGTCCTTTTTTTTTGTTGTTTTTTCACATCCTGGATGGCACCAAGCTGTGGTTCATCTCTTTTTCTCTTGTGCACTTTCTCCAGTGATAAGTACATTGTGACAGTGGATTGAACCCTCTCCTCTGTTAGCTGCCAAGCTGGACAGCAGCATGACATAGCACTTCTTCCCTGCTGCATATCCAAAAGCACTCACACACACACACGCAGATAGTGATGGGGGAAGAAGGCTGTGTTTCTCCAGTCACTGTGGCCTCTAGTATTTTTTTGTAAAGCAGGAATGTAAATGTACCAAAGCTGCTCGTGATCATGGGAAAGGTCGTATCACCCCACAAACACACGCGCTTCACTCCAACAGGTCATCATTTGCACTTTGCTGCTGATCACCTTCACTGTCCTTCTGCGGTTTTATTTGTCTGATTTCCCAAAGATGTCCCCTCTGTATTGGCTCACTCGCCTACATCTCCTCACATCAGACCAACAAGCTCCCTGTTCCTTGCTGGGGTGTGTGTGTGTTGTTTACAGGCCCCCGGTAGTGCTCCGCTCCCCGCAAGTTTGGAAATTTTAACACCTATGCAAATAAACAGGGATGGAAATGCAGTTCATATTTGCGAGAGTTGTTTGCGCAGTGCGCTGCGTGTGCGTCGGTAGAGGGTGTGATTGTCTATAAAAGGAACAGCCAAAGCCAGTTGTTTAAAATCCTAGTTGGACGGTTTCAAATCCCCCCCTTATGCACTGGGAGAGGAGAATAGAGGGAGGGAGTGCGGATGTATGTGTATGTGTGTGTGTGTGTGTCAGTCTGTCTACATGTCAGGAGAGTCTTTCCAATCAGGGAAAAGGATGGAAGAGACACTGACAGACAGACAGACAGACAAGTTTCAGACAGACAGACAGACCAGGAGAGCATGAGGAGAGACAGCGTGGAGCAGAGACACAGAGAGAGAGAGAGAGGAGTGGGTGGAGTTTACATGCCGAGGAGGCGTGGCCGAGCTGCTGTCACTCACTGGCGGTTGCCATGGTGAGCGGGCGGTCCCGAACAGCGGGGCATCCAATGGGAGACGACGCTGCTTGTGTCACCATGGTGACGGGGCTGTGCCCAGGGAGGTTGTGATGGGTTGACAGGTGCGTGACAATCGGAGCTCTCTGCAAGCATGTACGCCAAAGGCAAGAGTAGCAACGTGCCGTCCGACAGCCAAGCCAGAGAAAAGTAAGTTTTATTTATGGGGGAGGAAACCGCGGCTGTGAGGGAAGTTCACGAGCGGCCGGGGGCAGTCACACACTGAGCTGCGGTAGGGGAGGGCACAAGGCGAAACAGTGAGCGGCGTGGGGCTCTCCGCTCAGCTCTGCACGGCTCGGAAAGTTGACTGCTTCATTTATTTGAGGAAAGATAGACGTTTTTATCAGCGGGTGTTCGGTTCTCGTTAGGAGATGAGAATTAAACGCGCGGTTTGTGCTTCACGTGTTGAGATCGCTGCTTCATTTGCTTTTTTTTTTTAAATTCTGAATCCATCCTCGTCTTGTCATGTCTTGGCATTTTTTCTCTGCATGGTGTCTATTTGAATGGGTCATTTTAAACACTGTAATTTTGGAGTGTTTTTACTGGAGGGGGTTTTGTGTGTGTGTGTGTGTGTGTGTGTGCTTATAAGTGTTGTGCAGTTTTGTAAACACGCCGATCAGACGTTCACCATGTCGGCAGGAAAGTCCACGCATTTCACTGCTGCTGTGTTTGGAGGTGTCGCTTTTCCAAAAAAAAAAAAAAAAAAAAAAAAGAAAGAGACTATGGATGTGGTTGAATGTCGAGTCCCGGCATCGCTACGGGAGATTTCTGTGTGTGTCTGTGTGTGTGTGTGTTTGTGTTGTGACAGCAGACTTGTCATCTCCACATTTTGGCGACACAAGATTCAGTCGATCCGGCTGCTGCTTTGGCCATATTGAAGATGTCCAGCAATTTGTGTGCTTTACATATCAGCCAGGAAAGATCAGCAGCTCAAAAAAAAAGGAAATGCTTGTCATGGCTGTGCTGTTTTCTGTTGTTTACTAAAAAAAAAAAAAAAAGGATTCATAGCCTCAGACATGAGTTTAACCCACCTATGGAAGTAATTCAGACAATTTTGACAACTATAAAAAAAAAAAAAAAAAAAGGATTCATAGCCTCAGACATGAGTTTAACCCACCTATGGAAGTAATTCAGACAATTTTGACAACTATAATCCAGGTTGTTACTTAAAGTTATATTTAAAAAATGCAGCCCATATAGCAATATATGCAATTTCTGCAATATCAGTCCACAGCACTGCACCTTTTCTGATGTGATTCCTCAGATAAAGATATAAAACTACCACTAAATCCATGTTCAAATGCACAGAGAATAAGAGATTCTGTAAAAGTGACCTTCAACCAGGCTCGACTGCTCAGTACTTTTTTTTGGGGGTGGTGGGGGGCGCTTGGGGTCAGTTAACGGAGTTCATAGATCAGCACACACACAGGGAAGGAGGAGCATGTGTTTATTGATGATATGTCATCGCTGTGAACAGACAAAAACATTTACGATCTTTTGTCTCTGCGGCCGGGACCTCTGCAAAACCGATTAGAGATTCAAAGAGGGAGAGGAAAAAAAAAGAAAACGAGAGAAATCCAGTTGCTTTTTATTGAAGCTTGAGGAGTCACCATAACCTAGATGACTGAGAATCCACACAGATGAAGTGCCTAATAGCGTGACATAACCACACAAAGATAAACAGAGAGAGAGAGCCCTCACGTCCAGCTTGTGTTTTTCAGCTCGTGCCACCTGTGAGAGCAGTTTAAGGTGATTTGTCCTGTGAAGATGTCCATAAAAGACAAGATTAATCATCCCACTCCAGCTCCCCGCTACCAGGCGCGCATTTATTGTGTCTTTTGAATCCAGTTCACTCATGTTTGTCAACAGTGTGATTGAGAGTTCATCTGCATCCCTCGAGTCCCATTCTTTATTCTGAATCGATATGAAAAGGACTGAGGAGTGAAGCTCCATCGCTGCCTCGTTGCATACTAACGCGGGCAGAGATGGAAAGCCTCCTCCAGCCCTGGAAGATACTCTGTGTGTGTGATCACATGCATCTGTGTGTGTTCTGCAGTTTATCGAGATAGAGCTCGCACTATGGATGTGTTTACATCTAGAAGTGCATAAGTTGCTGTCTGACCTATAGCTTTGATCCCGGATTAGAGGAGCATGATCTGTCATAATAACATCAGCATGAAATAGCAAAGAGACAAGCCTGTAATTATGAGTGTGTTTGTTTATTGTATCTACAGCATCTTGTAATGATATTTCAGATTATTCTTTCCTTAACTTGACATGTATACAAATGTCCATATGAGTGAGACCCTGCGAGATTCTTCCTGCCCACTAAACTTCCTATTTGTCCCTCTCACTGTTTGATTTCCGTGTTGTCGCAGATCATTTCGTTATCTGTGTTTACATTCTAATGCAAGTTCCATTGGGCGTTACTGCCAAGGCCGCGACAGAGGAGAGGGACGGGCGACAAGAAAAACATCAGATGAAAAGGCAGTGAAAGGCGAAAAAAAAAAAAAAATCAAGCAAGCCAAAGTTTCATTCGTCTCTTAACAAGCAGACTTGTTTATCAGTGGTGTGTATCAGAGAAGCCGAGCAGGCCTCAGCGCTGCCGAGTCTTCAGTTGTTTCTCATTTCTGCAGCGCAGCGGGGGATCAGAGAGTGGGAGAGACAGAGGGCAACAACAGATTGAGGGAAAAGAAGGAGGAGGGGAGAGAGCAGGACTGAGGGAATTTGCTGGATCATTAGTTTACAGTGTTGTAGTATTGACCTCAGAATGGACCCCCGCAGACTCGGGGCTCTGGCGTCTCGCCCATGTAGATGTAGAGGAGCTCTAAATGCAACTGACCTCTATGCAGTTCTGTTCACTGCTTCTTGTGTGTGTGTGTGTGTGTGTGAGAGAGATAAGCATCTGATTTGTGTGGTGTGTCCTTGCTGCAGATGTATTTTGGGAATATACATACATATATATATATATATATTGCCTCCACTGGTATGTGATACACCACAGATTTGTGAATGTTTTTCTGGTGGTTTTGCAGATTTTGTACTTGGGGATAAAATGTAATAAGATACAAATACTGCTTGCTCTAGAGAAACCAAAACTGTACATTTTGAGTATTCTGACTCTGCTAAAGATGCCAAACTTAATAAAGGACATTCAGATTTTTTTTTCTTTCCTAAGAAAACTGTGTGGATCCTTAAAGTATGTGTCCACACTGTAAAAATATAATCCATAAAATGTTTTACTTCACCATTAGCCTAAATGTCACACTAGTAATTCTAATGTATGACAACTTAACATTCTCTCAACAGTCTAATTCATCTGCGAGACAGTTATAAATACTATGCTGAGTGTTGCCTCTTGCGGAGAGTTTATATTAAGGAACACCTGAATTTTCTCCAAGTCCTTTTCTTTTTTTCCCCCCAGTAGATTACAAGGTAAACAAACTCAGACTGCACAAAGTATTAGAACCTGAATATGTGACAGAAGCCGTTAACCATCACTGATTTCCTTTATTAAATCTGAACATTTCAGGAGAATATGCCGATAAAGAGAAGTAGGTGAGTCGGATGTTTTGCTAAAATACTAAAATTATCCTCCCTTACCCCTGAATGGCATAGCTCCTTGTGGATAGTTCCAGCTGGATGTGCCACATCTGGGAGATATCTGCTTCTACAAATACTGCAGGGGCACACTAGTTCAGTACAGATGAATGGAATCTTGTTTCTGGTGCTCAAAGCTCCAAAAGATTACATTTGAAAAAAAAGTCAATGGAAACATGTCTGTGCAGAAACAATGTCCCTGATCCAGCCATTCATAGACCAGGACTGTATGGTCGCAGTCCCAAACTGCTGGCGCCGGATTATACCGAGTAAAAGTCAAGAACGTGTCTTTAATATTTCATAGCCACCTCGTGTTTTTAAATAAAATCCCGATGCACTCATTTTTGGATACATCTTTGTCACATTTATAGTCTTTGTACGTGTGTGTCGGCATGTTAGAGAAGCGGTCTTTAAACCTATCCAGCTATAATGTACGCTCCCTCTGGCTCTGAGACGACGCTGCTGTCCTCGTCTCTACTCTCTCTCTGCCTGACTCTACCTGTGTTATGGTCCGCGCTTGATTTTGATTCGGAGTGACAGTACACGACCACTGACTGTGTACTGCAGTTGTTCAACGAGTGTATGTTTCAGTCACTGGCAGTTAGAGGACACATTCCACATAGTTCTGGGATTGTGGTCCTGACTGAGTTGCATTGCAGCACATAGTGCGCATTCCTTTCCCCCCTTTTTCTGTGCGTGTACTGAATCATGGAACAAACTCTCCCTAAAATGCACATACACGCACACATACTTGCAAGTCATTTCACTTCTCTCTATTTTTACAGACACACAGCAGCTAACTTTATTTTTATTTATTTATTTTTTACACATCATTTTAATAAACACAAACTGCAAACTCACAGCTGCAAGAAAAAAAAAAAAAAAGTCAGGTGCCAACCATCAGTCTGCTGCAGACTTAAGCATTTCTAGTCCTGTTAGGATCATCATTCTACACACATACGTACACGACACACACACACACACACACACGCAGCTACTTCTGAACCGAGACACCTCAGAATCCTGCCAGGAGGCTGCCAATGCAGCATTGCGCAGACTGAGGCAAAGCAGTGCATGCTGGGAGTGTTTATCCGACAGAGGCAATTCAGGCTGCCACTCTGGCTCTGACAGTGAGTCGCATTACAGGGGAACTACAATAAAAATAGAGCAGTATCTCACGCACACATGCACTGTGTTGCTCACAATGCGTTGCAACAACTGTGCAGGGAATCAGATTTTGTCCTTGCCAGCTGCCACCTGATGAATGTAATTGATGAGATTTTTTCGTTGTTTGTTTACTGCATTTCGTCGTCCTTGAGAAATGACGGCGGTGCTCTCATTAGCGCAAAGAGGGAAACCATTTGTTATAGCATGAACAAAAGAACGTAGCCAGAGGATAAACATATGTTGCTGGTCAACTTGGCAGGTGGAACGAGAGTCTGCGTACGCAAAACGAGCACTGAACTTTCGACGAAATTGAAAGTTCGAGAGCTTAAACGAGCCTGAATGAGAGAAAGATCAGAAGGTCAAGTAGGAGTTTTGTTTCGTGC